TTTTATTTTGCGAGTTGGTTATTAGATGCTGCTCCAGCCGGTCAGAGAATCCCCCGCCGCCCTGCCCTCTCCTCTCTGCGCGGCAAGCAGCAGGCGCACCTCGCAAACGGAGGGCATCCTTACTCCCAGAAAATGGGCGATAGAAAACCGATTGGTGCCTATGCTATTCCCAATATACGCTGGCATGACGTCGGGGCAGCATGAGTACGAGCAATTTTTTATTTATTTTTTTGATGCCCGTGATGCCGCCCCCCCACCACGATGCTGCCCTGGGCAACCGCCCGTGTCGCCCGTATCAAAAACCGCTACTGACCAGGTCCATCCCTTTACAAGCCTGTACCATCTTGTGATGGCTGCTTCCAGCAGGATAATAACCATTTACCAAAGTTCAAATCATCTCAAACTGGCTTCTTAATGAGTTCACTGTCATTTCCAGAAGTTTGTACTTGTTCAAGACGTGAAGAGTGGTGAGATCGAAGGGTACACGTTCTTTTAACAGGGCTGTGAAGGTAAAAGGTGTCAAAAAATGTGAACCTTTGCACTGTGAGTCATGATCTGCAGTACTGTTTAAAAAAGAAAAAGGACCGTAAGTGCACATGGTTTAGCCGGAAATGCAGCATTTGAAACTCAAGACTTGAGATGTTAAAACCTAAATCTGTATTTTAGCTTTTTAGGTGCCGACATCCTATTTTCAAAGCCATCTCATCTGATTAGATGTCGGTCTGCTTATCATGACAGCTGCAGCGGTACTCGAGCCAGAGGGGAATTATCCTTTAATTGCCTTCCTCCATACCTATATCTCTCGCTTTGATGTAGCTTTAGCACCTAAAACTATCACTGAAAGGTAGTATATGTAATCCAGATTGATAAATACTGAGTGCAGCTGCCAGATGGTGCTGGAAAAATGATGGATCTGTGCTACTCCTGCTTTTATCAGACGCTTTTGATGTGCCAACTGTGTAATAAATGTAATGTCATTGTTTGTCAGACTTAAATGGCAGACTGAAATTCGCATTTACTTCGGATACAAAGTTTTAAAATACCAAGAAATGTAACATTCATACTAACAAAAATTTAGCAACACGTTTTTGTTCCAGTGCAGCTCTCCAATACGAGAACATAACCATGCACAACACTCACAGAGAAGTCTTTTTTCAGCTTTTATGAAACCAAAACAGACACTCTTATTTTAACTCAAAAGGGCACAGTGCTGTCCTTGATTTTGAGTGCTAAATATCTTAAACTGTCACACTCTCCAGTAAGAACAAAGGCCTTGTCTTGGCTTTCCACATGAGAACAAAGCAACACTGATTCCAAGTCACATTGAAAGCATACACAACCCATATGTAGCCTTCAAAGTAGAAGGGCACCAAAATAAATGCTTAATTTTGTTGGATGTTCATGATTTTTGTTTAGAATTTAACAAAACATTTTCATTTGAAGTAGATGTTTCTATATTTTGCATTTGTCAGAAAAAAGATGAAAGTAAATCTGTGGGAAGCCACCTTTTTATTGAAAGTGTAACCGCACAGCCTCGACATGATGCTGACTCACAATCCAATTACAAGACATTTTTTTTGTTCTGCATTGTTGAAGATCTGATTCTAGTTCTGATTGGAACTTGTGTGGTCAATCAAATGGTCTGTCTTGGTTTGGACAGGCATTGATTGCGATGTTAAACATTAAATATATATTAAATATACTGGTTAATTTTTTCCACCCCATACAGCAACAACAATATCTTAAAGCAGGATAACGCCAAAAAAAGTCTCCTCTGCCTACCCAATTATAATCAAATATTCCACCTACAATTAAAGCTAAAATATGTTAGTTTAGTGAAGCTAACAGACAAACAAAGCAATTATATGGCAAATATAATAGAACAATGCATATCTAAAACACTATATATTACCTTTAGGCATTGGTGGAGTCCTCAGCATAGCATAAAGGAGGTTTAACTAGCCAGAGCTCATATCTAAACCATATGTTAGTTTCAGCAAGTATGCCACCAAAAAATAATACTAAAGTAAGATCACAGCCTATCTAAGATGTTCATATCTATCGCTTTACACACTGGTTTATCTTCATGTCTCACATTTGACATTTTTCTGTTGCGAACGATTCTGCTGGCTAGCTTGGTTAGCCATTCAGTGTTATACTAAGTGGGACACTAATTTTGGCTAGCATAAACAGGCTTAGAAATGTAAATGGTAAATGGCCTGTATTTGTATAGTGCTTTTACTAGTCCCTAAGGACCCCAAATTCACACACTGGTGATGGCAAGCTACATTGTAGCCACAGCCACCCTGGGGTGCACTGACAGAGGCGAGGCTGCCGGACACTGGCGCCACCGGGCCCTCTGACCACCACCAGTAGGCAACGGGTGAAGTGTCTTGCCCAAGGACAGAACGACCAAGACTGTCCAAGCCAATTACAAGGCAAACTCCGAACTCTTCAGCCACGATCACGATTCAAATGTACTCACTTGAAAAAAGTTCCTTTTTGTCTAGATCCAGTAAACCCTGAAAAACATGCTTCCCACCTGTGGCTGAAAACAAGCCATACTTTTAGGTCTTAATAATTTAAACATTAAAAATGTATCAATATTAATCAGTTACTTAGCAGTTCTCTATCCACTGTCTCTCGACACTATTAAATATTTCTTAACTACAGAAGTATAGAGATAATCTCTTTACTCATTGAAGCCAATTTCTAATATAATATGTTTTCTGCTCTTATTTGTTTGGTTGTTTGTTTGTTTTTTTGACTGGACCATATTTAGACAAGAAGAGAGTTTTCAGCTAATGATACCGCTGGCTAGCTTGGTTAGCATTTCAGTGTTTTCTAAAGGGGAAGCTAATTTGGCTAGCACAAACAGGCTTAAAAGACATACTCACCAGTGTTGCCAACTCAGCGACTTTGTCGCTATATTTAGCGAGTTTTCAGACCCCCTTAGCGACTTTTTTTCTAAAAAGCGACAAATCTGGCGACTTTTTCTGGTGTTATTGGAGACTTATTTATGACGACTTTTTGATGTGAAAGCGGGTATCACTTTTACTCTCAACAAGCAGCGGTGCTGCCGTGGGCACCTCGCCTGTTCCAAAGCGCTCACGGGCGGAGGATAGTCCTCCCCCCGCTGCTATCAGGGCAGGAGACGTTCACACCTGTGCGTCCAAACTGCAAATGAATCGCGCATGAGCGAAGCCGCTGCTTTCGCACTGACTGTAACGCAGTCAGTTTGTCTTTTACTGTTATGCTGTTTTGTGGATCACGAGGTTTAAAACTACTTATAAACAAACACACACACACACACACACACACACAAAGTAACTCCACCAGAGTGCCTATTTCGGGTCACTTTTGCCGGTCCAAGCCCGGATAAAGGAGCAGGGTTGGAATTGTGACATTAAAAAGAACAATAATCGCTAAAATAAATTTAATTTGTAGTTCTAAATAAATTCTAAATGCATTTAGGACGTTTTTTACTCACTTTGTCTCTTCCACGATGTTATTTCTCTCTCCAACAACGTAGGTTACAATTATATTAGCATGACCAATTATGCAAATTAGCGACTTCTTGCAACTTTTAGGACAGCCAATAGCGATTTTCCTTACTGAGGAGTTGGCAACACTGATACTCACTTTAGAAACTGAACAACAGGTTCCTTATTGTCTACAACCAGTGAACCTGAAAAAAAGGTCTCCGCCTGTAACTCTAACTGGTAACTCAGCTAACCACCCCCAAAGGAAAATATACTTTTAGGTCTTAATAATAAATTTAAACAGTAAAAATATATCAGCGTTCACTACTTATTCAGCGTTTCGCTATCTCTTCACACTCTTAATTATTCCTTACCTTTACTCATAGACCTCAGGTTGTAATATAACCATGTGTTCTCAATTTGTTTGAAAAAAAAGAGAAAGAAACCAAATTAAGCAAAATTGTTTTTAGGTACAGAAAGCAACCAAAAGGGTTTGCTGAAGGCTAATTTGCTGACTTTATCTAGCAAAAATTTAATTTGTATTAATTTTTTAATGTGAATTATTGGTTCAAATATATTTTGTGGTTTGGGAATTTTTTTCAGATTTTGAAAGTTTGAGAACAACTGCCTTACAGTTTTTACTAACCAGCAAATTATCTGTATTTCTTTTGTAAAGCTGCTGTAAATCTGTATCATTAGTTTGCTCTCAAGTTTTCATTTTTGGGGAATAAGCCTCAAGTGGCCATTTGAAGAACTGCAGATTTTTACACCTTGACATCAGTTTTGTTTTTCAATCGAGGATGTTGTTGTATGAGCTAAATGTAATTTCACAATTAAGATTCAACCCAAGAACTCCTTGATGCAAGCAGCCGTTCTCCAAAAATGATGAGGTCGTTTAATCTTCCATTTAATTGACAATTTGTGTTGAGCGGTCTTATTAACCTGGGTTTAAGACTTCTTTAACAGAAAAGATGGCGTGCTTTTTCACCAAGGTCGTCACACTGTATTTCGAGGCAAGTGAATGTGGCCGAATGCGCTGTCCGTGCATAAAATAAAATGCTGGTCATCTAGTGACAGTGTGTTGATGGTTATTGAGGTTGCTAAAGTGGTACTCAAAGTCAAGACAGATTTGCTCATGAATGCTGTCACTGCAGCCACAAATACTCATTTTTATGTCCTCTCCCTCTCTCCTCTGCGCAAGTGTCTAACTTTTTTTTTAATAGCTTTTCCCATCTGGCTCACTCTAAATGTTGCAAATTATCCCTTCTTGTTAAAATTTGTTTCCTTCGCGTTCTCTCACACTCTCTCTCTCTTTTTTCCACCTGCTTCTTCCATCTCACTTCCTCCCTGCTGCTCTGGCCTATCGCTCCATATTTTCTCATGCCATCCACTTTGCTATCTTTCTCACTGTCTGCTTCCCACACTCCCATTGCCTCCCGCCTTCTCGCCTTCTTTCTCTCCTTTCTCTCCTTTCCTCTTGCTGGTTGGTTGATTCATTTTATTGTCTGCTCCCTGCAGGTATACCCTCGGAAGAGCACCCCCGCTGTGGACAGGCTATGTGTGGGCGTTCCTGCCGCAGAGGTGAGCCAGATGCTGCTGTATCACACAAGCACCTTCTCAAGTAGATTGTCTGTTTGCACTTCTCCGTGTTGTGGGGCTTTTTTTTTTAACAATCGTACTTTTGATTACTTCGCAAAAATCAGTTTCTGCAGAAAATAAAATATGAATGACATGAATTGTCCGACAGTACTGACTCACGAGAGCACGAGGGCATTGAGTTGGGCGATTGCACTGACAGTGCGAGTGTATTTCTTGACAGTTTGAGAGTGTTTGGCTCAGTGTTTTCTCAGAGTCAAATCAAAATATCTTTCACTCTTCTCAAAGAAGACATTAGTAGGAACAGTGATCTCCTTATCAGGCTTGTTTGTGTAGTCATGCTACAGCCAAGCATGTCTCTACTAAAGATACAAGCAGGAAAGAAATGGGTGTTGTGTAGCAGCAGCATGTGGACTCAGTGATTGTTGAGTTCTGTGCACTTGGCAGGAGGAAACCAAATAGGCCAACGCCACGGAGGGAACTGGACAACTTATCTGTGTAAAACTCATGATATCATGTGGGATATCACACACACACACTCACTGTCACACGCAGCGTAGCGCTAGAAGCTTGATTTAAACATAATCTCAAATGCTGACAGGCTTTCGTGCTCGGCGGGCTTTCCGCTAGTATCCTATCCTCCCTTCCAATGTTGACTCAAAGCCCAATGTAAATGCCAGTGGAATATTGTGATTCACGGGGCTCTGCTGATCACACACTGCATTTCCATGCATTATTTACATCAAGCTTAGCTCTCTGTGCATTTGCAAGCACAGGTCACAAACAAGCAGGGATCAATGAATGACAGAAATCAAATATTTATGTCCGAGCCAGAGCACCTAAGGCGGGTCACATGACCGCGGGGCTCTGCGGGGACAACTTCCTGCCACATGCCCTCTAGAGGGAAGTAAAATCAGCAGCATCAGGAAATAAAAAACAGAGAGAGAGAGGGTGGTGTTTGTTGTAGCAATTTACAGAGTGAGGAAGAAATGCTTTGGGAGTGTTTTTTTGTTTAGTTTTTTTAGTATTTGTTCCTGTGCGCCTGCCGTGTTGATTTACAGTCTTGTTGTTTTGTTTGCACACAGAATATATCAATTTGTTATTTTGCTAAACATCGAAGCAGTCTAGCATGCAATATAAACTGCAGTCCCAGTAACACGCAGCAGACGAGTATTTGCACAGTCTATAGGTAAACTTCGTTAAACGTGTTAATGAGTGGTATTTATTATAAAAACCTGCGTGCTGTAAACTGGAAATGTCATCCCAGGCCGGTTTCCCCTGCCTGTTTTTCAATGACACCGTAAACACTGTTTTCCCTAACGGACGCCCCCGCTCATTGTCCCCGCCAGTGTTTCGGCTTGCTGGGAATCAACGGAGCTGGAAAAACCACCACGTTCAAGATGCTGACAGGAGACATCCCAGTCTCCAGTGGAGAGGCCTTCCTAAATGGATACAGGTGAGGCCCTAACTCCCACTAGTGCACCAAGTACCTCATCATAATTAGCCACCTAGGAAGGCTGCTCAGATGGGGATCGAGCTGTATTTTTTTTTATAGCTCACATCCTGTTCCACAGCTACATTCATTCTCTGTAATACCGCTTTCTATTTTTCCATCTCCGGCACTCTCACTGTCTTTGTTTTTCCCAGCTATGCAGTTCCACTATCTGTTATACATTTGGCTGTCTCTGCCTCTCCTTCAGCTTTGGTTTTCTCTCCTTACTCTGAGATTCTCAGAAATGCTGAAGACTCGGCTCTCGCCTTTTTCCCCCTCCTTACCTCTTGTACAGCTTACACATATTTCATTCCTTTTCATATCCTCACCCTGCACCCTGCTCTGGTTTTTTTTGTCTCAGCCTTGCAATATCAGTGGTAAGAAATCTTTGTACATGCCAAAAACAAAAAAAATAAAAAATACCCTGACACTCGAGCACTTGAGAGAAAGAAAGTTTGCTCTTCCTTATTTTTAGGAACAAACAACCGTGTTCCGTTGCCTTGGCGCGCATCTCTTAAGGCGGCACGGCAGAGTGCGGTTGAGCCGCGGCTGTTCATTCGCACGTCTTGCAATTGACTTTGTGTTCAACGAAAAACAAGCGGCGAAGAGAGCAGTGCTTTGCTCAGCAGTGTTTATGTTGATTAATGTAGGTACAAAGGAGATCAGAGAAAAACCCGAGACCTTTAGGGGGAACGAAAACTAAAAAGAAAAGGAAAAACAGATGTGATTACACCCACTCTGTTTTCAGCTCATTATGCTTTCTGTGCATTGGCAAGAACGATTAGTGGAAGAGAAAAGGCAGCTTCTCTTAAATGGAAGTTTATGCTCTCATGGCAGTCGTCCCTCTTGTCTGCGTCTGTGGGCTCGCAGAAAATAGCAATGCCTGCATTTAGCATGCTTTTACTGTTCAGGAAAAGCTAGCATGCTAACCGCAGCAGGTGGCTCATTAGCTGCCATTATTTGATGAAGATCAAGAAGGAAGTGGATTACCTCAGCTACCACAGAGACGCTAATGCACATCATCACATTTATAAGTACGTATTTGGGCTAATTAACCCCTCTTGTTTGAATCCTCAGTCTTCAAAGATCATCCAGAGTTTAGAGGTTTTAGTCTCTATACTAAGCTAACAGCAGTGTAGTCTGTGCAAACCCAGTGCCAAAATTGTTGAGATGATGCGTAATATGTAAATAACAACAGAATACAATGATTTGGAAATCCCATAAGCCAAAATTCTATTCAAAATAGAAAACATATCAAGTGTTTAAACTGAGAAAATAAAGTGAAAGCTCCTGACTGCAGGCCAGTTCTGCACTTGGACTCTTCTACTCCAAAGTCATGTTGTTGCAGTATGTGGTTTAAGGTTGTTCTGCTATAATATGCAAGGCCTTGAAAAAGATGCCGTCTGGAGGGGAGCATACGTTGCTCTAAGACCTGTTTATAAAACACAGCGCTGACTGTGTTTTTCCAGATGTGCAAGCCAGACTGGATGGGGCCTCTCCTCTTTAGTCTGGCAGACACAGCATCCATGTTTTCCAGAGAGAACAGTTTTCAACTTTGTCTCCAACCAATTCAGTGAGCTTTGGCTGTAATGTCATTATAGAGCCTTAACCTGCATTTGTGGATCGCACCGTGAACTGAGACAGCACACAGTGATTTCTGGAAGCGCTTTTGAGCACGTGCAGTGATTTCCGTAACAGAATCATACCTGTTTTTAATGCAGTGCCCGCAAGTCCAAAGATCATCTGCAGCCAGTGGAGATTTTTGACCCTGTCACTTACGTACAGAGATTTCTCCAAATTTTTAGGATATTTAAAAACAATTCTGTACTGTACATGGTGATATAGTCAGTGTGTTACAATGTGTCTTACAGCCGCAACTGTTCTAGAAATGTGTTGGTGCCATTAACTTTAAAATAAGCAAATATCTTTCTTAAAATATAACATTTGACATGCTTTCTGCAGCACGTTCTCATGGCAACACGTAACATACTGACACGTGTGACAAATTGTCGGTATGTTATGTGAGCATGGCATGAGAGCCAGATGGAATGAATCTTTACGTCCTCATCATGAATCGCTTTAGATTACACTGTGATCGGGTTAAGGTTATGGTGAGGGCTGGAGCCTCAGTTCAAAGCGTCGATTATCACCGCGAGTGCATTCTATTAATTTTAATTGAGAACCCGTAGCGCTTCATAACGACATGGAAAGGTACTTTTCCCGTTACTATGAGACGTGTCGGACAGTGGGAACGGGCATGCTCTGGTTTTATTGTAAACAAGATGTGGATTAATGAGATTTGTAAACAATTGTTTTCAGTTTTTATTTACATTTGAGAGTTTTTACAACTTTCTCAGGAATTGTATTTGTATTTCCAAAGCATTTTCTGGCTTGTGACACTTCCCCTCTTGTGGCCAGATGCTGCACATAAATTCCCAGCCTTATTTGTGATGGAAAATAATGTTCAAATTTAGTCCCAAATCCATGATAGATGAAACAGAAAAGCAAAAGTGAAATCATTAATTAGTTATTACTTTTGTGAATAAAAGTATAAATACAGTAGAAACCAGGGCATTAAGATTCTTTAAGCTTGGGGCCAAGAGATCCTTTTTACAAATGAGATACAGCCAGACGCTTTGGATAAATCTGACACCGACAGAGCCTAACAGCGGTTAGCTCGGAGCAGCTGTTTAGCTCATAGCGAGTCAGTCACTCTTGAAAATGTTATTGCAAAAAAAAGAAACTTGAACTCATGCGGTGTGATGGTACGTTTTAAGCCTGTTTCATGGATGCTTCTGATTGGAGGTCTGCAAGCTTTAATGTTCATGACATGAAAGAACACTGAAGCATTAACAGACTTAAATAGTAGCACTGTAGTGGTGCTTTAATTATCAAAGGACTATTGCTCACTGTTATTGTGAACTTTTACTCAGAGCTAGAACTCAACATATAATTAGATTAATGGAGTTTTCGGTTCACAACACGACCTTGTTGAGCTCTAGCGGACTCCAAGCAGCAGGTGAAAGAGATTTCAAGTGAACATTTGTTGAATGTTACTAAGAAAATAAGAGAAAAAAATGCTGCGAAAAACATTTGTTGCTGCTGCTGAAGGTGAAAGTATTAATATAAGAAAATGTTTTCTGTGTATTTGTGGTTGTATTTGATAAAACAGAGAATGGGTGTTGGGGACTTTTACTTAAGACTGCAAATACAGGATGTGAAATGAACCCGTCTGCTGCTTTATGATAGTCTGGAGGAATTTCACTGAGGGTTGACTGGCTCACGTCTGCTCCTCTAATTCTTTTAAGTTATTGTGAATATCTGACAACTTTACTTTCTACGCCAGTTTGAATCTTCTCCTCTAAAACCCAGCTTGACGTCTACTTCAGTTATGTTGCTGTTTGCTTTCGTCTCTTTGTGTTTCATGTCTTTGTGCTGCATGAAGACTGCATGTAATACAGTCTTCAGATATTTTATTAGAAACATGAAGGTCACCCAGCATTTGTGTTTCTTCCGCAGCATCCGAACTGAGATGAGGTCCGTGCACCAGAACATGGGCTATTGCCCCCAGTTTGATGCTCTCGATGAGCTGCTGACTGGACGAGAGCATGTGGAATTTTACGCCCGGCTACGAGGGGTACCGGCAAGAGAGGTCGCCATGGTAATCTTCTTAATTGAAGCCTTTGTTTCACTCCTGGCTAATGGTGTGCATCACCACATCTGCACCTTGGCTGGTACCAAGTATAGACTAGATAGAAAGCTATTGAAACAGCATCACTATATTTCTTTAGTTTTAGATTATTTTGTTTGTTTGTTTGTTTGTTTGTTTGTTTGCTGCACCGAACAGAGTGCATCTAAAATGCATGTAGGGCAAAGTGAAGTACATGTCAAAGTGATAGATAACCTCTATGAGAGAAGCCATACATAATGAAAAATGGCCAGTAGAAGAAAAGGAGCAGCTTGTGGGTTATGGCTCTGCATTATTCACAATGCCCAGTGGTGTGGCCCGCCCTAGGCGGCCTCCCCGCACTCCTCACACTGCCCGCTTCTCCAGCACTCAGATCAAAAGAGGAAAAGGCTGCCGGTGACCACAGGCCTCAGACCTGGTGCCAGGGCTTTGATGCCTTAGCTTCAGTGCAAAGGGACAGTTCTGTGCGGCTAACAAAGCTCTTAACTTCGCTGCAAAAATTTCCTCACTGCAAATTCTTTTTTTTTTTTTTTTTCTTTTTTTTTTTTTTGCAATGGCAAGTCTCCATCCAAACAAAGTCCCCGTGCCTTATTTGCATAATCAATAAACAAATGCATCCACGTGCATGAAAGGAATTCATTGGTGGTCCTGCAGCCTTCATTTAGTGCAGCATGCACATCCACAGCTCTGGCCACGCTCCTGCTTTCTTGTGTTTGATGAGATGTTGTTGAAAACAGTAAAGTACCTCCACAGACCTGCCATTAAAGTCTCACGGTGACACCAGCTGTCACGCCCTGTCCTTGAAAAACCACACAGCTCACATATAATAGTCAAAATATCATCCATCACCCTATCATGAGTCCAGTGATGGGGCTCAGGTGAACACTCCTCTCAACACCACAATGGCTGCTCTGTTTTCTCTCCTCCATAGGTGGCTGAGTGGGGGGTCCAGAAGTTGGGGCTAGCCAAATATTCCAACAAATCAGCAGGAACCTACAGCGGCGGTAACAAGCGCAAACTTTCTACAGCGATAGCCCTGATCGGCTGTCCTCCAGTGATTTTTCTGGTGAGATTCAGCTTTATTGATATTGTGTATGTGGTGTACAGCATAAGCTGTTTTCTCTTTAAATACACACATGCAGCAGCGTGAATACGACAGGTTAGAACGTCTAGTAAAAGAAGAAAGAATAAGATACTGATCAGACTTGCAAACCCTTACTGAAGGATTTTTTAAGTAGATTAATTGCGGATGAGCAGGCTGTGCATCTCAGAGGTCACTCAGTGGTCGTGTTTTAATTCAATTTCATTTTCCGGGAAAATGCACCGGTCCTTTTGGAAAAATGTGGAGCAGACAGAATTGTGTTTGCACATATTAAGTCCTTCTTCATCAGATCTTAAAACCGAGAGCCAACACATTTCCTCACCCGTGGAAGAATAATGGAGGAGTGACCCAGAATGTGCCGCGCCGCCTGTTTTCAATTTATGTGTATTAGGAAGTCGTGCCGTGGCATTATGAGGGACAAACGTCAGCGGCCTTAAGCACTTGGAGCTTCACACGGGCTTGCTTAATTAAAAACCTTTCATTATGATTTTTGCAAAGCTTCTGCAAATCCAGTCAGCGTATCACATGGTCTGATGTGATTTCCTGAGCTTTGATGGCAAAATAAGATGTAAAAATCTACACTTTAATGCCTGTTTTCGCCCTCCTTCCCCCCAGAAATGTCTCCAACTATTCAACATTATTCCTGTTTCATTTGCTGCCCGTCAGCTGTAATTAACACATTACTTTGTTTCATTTGCAGCAGTTCATTGGATTACGGTGCTAATAATAATTTTATTTAAGTAATGACTCCATCCATGTTAAATTAAAGATGTAAAGGAGTAATCTTTCCAGACGTTTCTGCCTCAATTTGTAAGCTATCAAGCTGCACTGTGCTAAACCTCGAGCCAGGCTAGCCTTCGTTCCAAGTCAGCGGGGGACCCTGTGTTGTCAGCTCCCCGTGTCAATTTCGCCACTGCGCGCGAGCCCAATGAGCCCAGGCGGCCTTGAGGCAGCGCCACATAGAGTTTGCACGGGGGCACATTGGGCACGGCGATGGAAATGCCCGTGGGATTTGTGGGATTCTGCTAGCGAGGATAGAACCAGGCGTGGAACGAAGCCAGCCTGTGGACCGAGTACTGTCGATGTCTAATCAGGCATGGACAGACAAGCCCCGAGGAAAAAGAAGCAGCGAGTGACTGAGATGTGTGAGCGTGCGCCGTGCTGCGCTGGCGTGTGCTTCATGTTTATGTTCCCATCATGTGAACATGGGTCTGGTCAGAATTCGCCTTTGTAGTGCAGAGCTTATATAGCTCTCGGCTGCGCTGAGCAGATTCAGCGGCCTTCGGCACAGATTGGACCACAGCTCCAAAAATATTCCCTCTCGTGATGTTTTGATGATGACGATCGGAAAGAGCTTTGTGATACTAGAGCCTAAAAATCCATGTGATTTTTTTTCCCCCCCTTTTCATTTCATCACTTCTCTGAAATCACACCGATCCACAGCTTACCTGCTTGCGTGCACTGCCTGACAGCTCGTTCTTAAAAGAAGCGCCTGGGTGGAACTGACTGAAAGCTTTTTGTTCATTGCAGGATGAGCCGACCACCGGGATGGACCCCAAAGCCCGACGCTTCCTGTGGGACTGCATCCTGAGCGTCATCAGAGAGGGACGCTCAGTCGTTCTCACGTCACACAGGTGCAACATCGCATTTATTTGATGCATTCACACCAAGATGGAGTCAAAATATTTTGACTCTTCACCAGGGAAAGCACAGCACCCAAACAGTCCACCAATGAAAGCGAGCTATAAATATTGTAATTATAATTGATTGGAGCCGCACTTTAGTTGAAAGGTATTGTTTCCTGTGTGGCAGTTAATATTGGCTGCCAGAAACACACTGGCTGCTATAAAGCAGTCATGAAGCGTGAGGGCATATTGACTGACTGCCGCTTTTTTTTTTCTTCTTTTTTCGCCTCTGTGAAAAGAGAAACTGTCAATATCAGTGCTGGAGTCTTTTCATTATCCAAGGCTTCCCGGAGCAAAGTTAAGTTTACTATTTCTTCTGTAGCGCTGGCCACCAATTTAAGATATGGCGGGTTTTTTCCTGTCTTTTCTTTTAGCAAAGTTGAAAAATTAAAAGCCACATTTCTCCGAGAAACCCACGACGTTGACGGCCCGAGTCGATATGGAACATTTAACAATTTGCTGCCTGTTTGTTTGACCGTTTACCAAACCCGAGTCGTATGTGAGGCTGGCAGGCAGCGCCTGTGGAATGAATGATTCTTATTACACGTGCTGCTTTCGTGGAGCGTTTGGCGTTTGTCGTCCCGGGCACGCCGGCTGAGCTGCATCCAATCGTCCATGTCATGACCAGGTGGTTTTGTTTTGTTAAGTGGCGCGCTCGCCAGGTTTTTACAAAGTCATAATCCTAATTGCGTCATTCCTCAGAAAGGCATCGCAGGTTCTGCCCCGGATACAAATGACTCGTGCTCACTCGCGACGCCGAGCGAGATAAAAAATTAGAGGGTGAGAACTACAGATGGGCCCTTCGTCGCCCTCTGATTGCTGAATTTGCTGTACGCTTTAGATGCTCAAATTTGAACTGGGAGTCAACATGAGTGGGTGAGTGAAGGTGTGAGTCCACGTGGTCCAAAACAAGAGCACTCAGAGAGCGCCGCCCCCTCTGAAAGGAAGGGGCTGTACTTACACTTTGATGTTTTAAGCTGATGTCAGCATAGGTTATATGGAGATCCCCAATAATGACAACTGCATCGTTTTCATGACTCATTTGTGCTGATGTCAGGAGTGTTAATAGAAACCTAGAGTAGCATATTAAACTTTTTGTGAAGTCGTATAATGTTGCATTAAAAAATAGCATTTTAAAGAGTTCAAACAAAGAAAGTGCTCATGTCCTCCAATCACTATTATATTGCTTTAAAGTCTAGAGATGATCAAATAGAAACTAAAGCTTTTAATCAATTTGTGTGACTCTGACCTTTGACCTGTGCCCTTGAATCATTATTTTCTCATCTTCACCCATATGGTTGGAGCAGAGTTGGCTAAAAACCTGAGATTTTAAGACTGATTCATGAAGTGAGTAATTTTTAAAAAATCTCTGTCATCACTGTGATGTTGTACAGCTCTCTCCATGCCCGTTCATACGAGATATTACTCAATATGGTTTCTCAATATTTTTTTTTTTAACTTGGGTGCTAACAATGATGGTCATGATCAAATGTTTAGCCAAACTTGGTGCTCGTTACCCTGAATGCCTCGTATACTGTTGTGTAATTTAAAGATGATCCTTAAAAAATCGTGGCTAATCTAAAGTTTTCATCGATTTTCACATTTGGTGTGATCTTGACCTGAGTTTCAAAAGTTAAAGACATAGACAAAGGCATTTTTTACAATTATTTGTTTTTGCTACTTCACGAGTCTCCTCTCTTTCTTTCAATAGCATGGAGGAGTGTGAAGCGTTGTGCACACGCATGGCCATCATGGTAAACGGTCGCTTCAAGTGCCTCGGGAGCATCCAGCATCTGAAGAGCAGGTAAGGGATGTTTTGGGGGTTTTTGCCACTAAAACAAAGACGGAGAAGAGGAGAAAGAAATAAACCGCAAAAATCTTTGAAGTAACTTGAGTTGAGATGAAAGAAATCGCTGTCTCCCACTGAGGCGCTCTGTTATTTATACTGTGTATATAAATAACACAAAACCGTGTGTATTGATAATAAAAAGAATATAGGAGTAGATTTACGTTTTTAAGGAAGAATGAGAAACCTTGCTTGTACTACTTGGATTGTTTCATTAAGAAGGAGCTCAAGAGGAGAGCCACAAAAATGAACATTCGCTCTCGTGCTGCGATGCTACAAATGTTAGGCAGCATGTTCGTCAGGGTGCTGCTAGTCGACAGGGCTGACCGTACTGATGATACTAAAACTTCAGTGTTGATAGCAGTAATGCATATAATGTATGATAATCTGAAGAATTAGTGTGTGATTGCAGTTTGTATAGTTAAGGCTACAAACTCTGCCAAAAAAGACGAAACACAATACACCAAGTCATGGATGATTTGACTGACAGATTATAGATATGACAGAAATACTGTTACTGTGATTGTTTTTCATTCCATCATAAATGTGAAATGACTCATTTGTAATATGTTTGCTTAGTTAATCATGTTTGATTTAGCAGGTAAAAATAAACACATGTTAATGCTGTAAACGACCCATAGCCGTAGAGTTCCAGTTTATGGTGACGTCCTTCTCTTCTCATCGCCTTCATTTCATACCTTGATGTAGTCTTTCTCTTTTAAATTTTCTCCATATACGCACTCATCAGCCACTTCTTTAGGTATACCCTTTCATTTGCACGTACAAATATCCAATTAGCCAACCACGTGCTCGCAACTTAATGCATTTAGGCATGCAGCCATGGTTAAGACGGGATGCTGAAGTTTATCCCGAGCGTGAGAATGGAGGAGAATGGTGATTGAAGAGAGTTGTTGGTCCTGAGTGTTTCATAAACTGCTGATCTCGTGGGATATTTCCACACAGCCATCTCTAGGGTTTACAGAGTCTGAAAATGAGAACATATTCACTGAGCAGCAGTTGTGCCGCTTGATATCAGACAGCAGAAGAATATGGACAGACTGCTTTAAGCTGAGATATTTCTCAAAGAAACACTTTTTTTAACCTCTCCAAATGTCACCAAAATTGGACAACAGAAGGTTACAGAAATGTTTCCCGATCTGATGATTCTCAATTTCTGCTGCCGTGAATTTGGCATAAAAAACATGAAAGCATCATGTTATTGGCGGTGTAATGGTATGTTGTACCATCTTCTGATGGCTGCTTCCAGCGCACCTTTGGCATGTAGTGGAAGAGGAGACTCACGTCGTGGATGTGCAGCACCTGTGTGATGCTGTCATGTCAGTATGGACCAAAATCATGCTGTGAAGAATTGAGGCTAATATGAAGGCAAAGGGGGTCCAAAGTGGTACTGACAAGGTATAGGTGTAGAAAACGTGGCTGCTGAGTATATACACATCTGCGATCATGATTATGATGATATTTACCCATAGTAACCGTGAAAGCTGTAACCTCATATATTCAGACAGAAGACTAAGTAGTCGTTTATTTTCCATATTGGCTGCACTGTATTGATTTTACCTGAAAAGACGCAGTCACGTATGCAGGGCTGGCGTTTCCGTTCCAGATCTTTCGCCATTACCTCAAATTCACGTTTGTTTCTCTTCTCGCACATTCTGTTTCCGTCGTCTCTGTCCTCATTCACAGCGTGAGCGGCCATTGATATTCGTCAGGGCTTTTAATGGGTTTCTTACATCTCTCCATCATAGATATCCCCTGCTGTTAACTCTTAGCGCTCAGGTCTGCTCTCTGATATTCATCTGACATTTTCCAAGTCCAGCACGTACGCCCCGAGCCCTGCATGTAACAGTGAGGCCAATCCATTACCTTAGCTACAGTGTTGTGACATTATTATTACCACTCCTTTGTGCAAGCTGGTAACTGGAAGAACATTACACACACACACACACACACACAAGCACTGCATTCATGACAGGAATATGTCGTGGCAATCTCTGGGTGCAGGGAAAGATCAATACACCTGGGATGAGGGGTGGAGCAGACCATTTTTCAAGTTGTGCGGGGGATTAGCAGAAACGCCTGCAGGAGCAAGGAGGGGTCACCGGTGTCAAGGGTATTTCCCATCAAGTATGTTAATGTCATACAAAACATCTGGGCTTTTAGATCACTACGGGGAGGGAATAGGTAGATTATAGATGGTGATTAAAAAAAAGAGTGAGAATTGGGGGTGATAGGAGCTAAGAGGCAGAGGACCGGAGAGGGAGAGCAATCAGGCCCGCCCAGATGTTCGTTGATCCTGCGTGTCAATTGCATCCTGTCGGTAGGGGCACGGGCAGGGTGGGGTAAATAATGCATGAACTGCACAGGAAGTATAGGACGGGTAAGAGCCTCCAGAGCATGGGTGGAGTCTGGAGAGGGGATGGACGAGGGATGAGGACAGAGGATTAACACGTGTCCTACTTAACTCCACGTGATATCAGGTAAAAGGGACTCACTTCACAAGACAAGCGAACGAGAGGAAAGTCAGATAAGCGTGACGTCTGCCTTTTTTTATTGGGTGGGGGGGGCACTTTTATTTTAGATCTCACATGGACAATTTACATGCCGCTGAAATGCTATCGCTCAGTTCTCGCCACGCAGTGAATAATTTCTAATTAAGCATCCCTATCTCCGCTGCGCTTGCTGTAATTAATGTTTCATGAGGTGTGGGACCCCGTTAATGACTGAAAAGGCAATTAAGGAATGTCTTCTCTGTTTTCTTTTCTCGTCACTATCCTGCCACATGTTTGTGCTGTCATGTTGTGAGACACACACACACACACACACACACACACACACACACACACACACACAACTCACCCTTGAATAGCCATCATTTTGTATATGCCTCCACATTCTGGCTCTAATGGGGAAATGAAGGGGCTGTTTTTCACAAGTGCACAAGCAGCTGCCAGTCAGACCAGCGGGGGTTGAAGTACGGGGTGGGGTGGGGACATTGTAATGGTGGTGCACGCAGTTGTCACACGGCGCGAGCGGATGACCTGCAAATCTGGGGGGGTGGAGGGAGCTCCTTCCCTGTCCCATTTTCCCATCTCTTTTTCATCACAAACCCTCGAGAGGAGTGCAGATCTCTCTCCACGGGGGCAGCACTCACATTTTGACCCCCTGTTGCTCGCATGTAATACATGCTCACCCCTACCACATTCTCAACTCTTGCTCCCACCCGTCACCTCCCCCGACTGACTCTTCTCCTTCAGAAGCCTCTCACCCTATTACTCTTATTTATTCCCGACTCTCTACGAAGGTGGCGAGGCTTTCAGCCCAGTCATCCAAGTCCTTGTTAGCACTGCCCCCTTTAGTTCGACAGCACGCGTGTATTTATCACACAGATGCCCTTCTGCTGCCGCACCCACCCCTGCCTTTGGCGTATTAGTCAACCCTCAAATGAGCCAAAATGGCCCATTTTAGACCACTAGAGACGTAGTCAGTGTGCGAGAGGAGCTGAAGATTCGGTAGGGTGGTGCGTTTCAGAGAAATAGGGCAGCCATCTCGAGTAGCCTCTCCATTATCTTCCACCATGGGTGTTAAAAACACCCTGTCTTTTTTCTTTTTTTTTTTTAACCTGCCCTGGCATTGAGCCGCTCAAATCAATCACACTTCTAGAAATTTATGAAAGGCTGATGGGCATGGGGAGAAATAAATAAGTATAAAATGCACAAGGGGCTGTAAATAGGGCTTCAGTCTAGCAGCATGCTAGTCTGAAGGTTCCCAGGTGTTAAGTAAACCCAAATGAAGTGGAGGAACCAATAAAAGCAGCTTCAAAGCTCCCCTATAATCTTGTCAGTTTGGAAGGACACCGACTAGCCTTTGCAGGATTTTTCACTGATTGATATCATTCATATCCCCACTTCACCGAGTAGCTGCGGTAAGCACACCCCACAGCCTCCAGTCAGATTTTCTCCTTGCTTAAAGCACATCATGAAATAAAAGTAGGATGCAAAGTGCCTTAAATGCATTAAGGTAATGTGCTTCGAGCGCTGAGGAGTTTTTTACAAGAGCCGTGTAGAAAAGTTTGGATCCATCCCCCCACCCGAAGTTGACGTTAAGAGAAGTCCAATAAACTCGCCTCCCACTCACTCTGCGTCAGCTCTGCAGGTGCGCCATTAACTAAATAGTTTACGGCTTTTAAGTGCATGTCACCCGCGGAGATGAATGACAAAATAATTCTCTTTACGGTGTACAGTGCGTCGCCAGTGCAGGTGTCATTTAGCCTGCCAGAACATTGGCGGTCACAGATGAGGTGCAGTATACGTCCCATCCATATGTATTTGTTCAAGATGAGCAACATTTGATTGTGGATTGATAGCAAATAACCAAAAGTGATGAATTGCACAGGTGACGCTTTTATCAATATTATTAATTTCGGTTTATGAAGCTCACGCTTATTGAAAATGCAGTAGACATAACTTTTACAAGCCACAGGATGGCCTTCATATGAGCCCATGCCAGTGCCTTGTAAATACATCTTAGATATATCTTGCCATGCAATCACACAGGTAAATTAAAGTAACACCATAGGTGACCTTGTGTGTTCATTTACAGTTCCATAATTTACTCTACGACTCTGCTACAGTAACTTTAAGTGATTCACAGCTCAATAGTTATCTCATCTCGGGCCTTCGTTTTGAGGCAACTTTCCTCTGATTGGCTGCCCCTCACAAACTGCTTTAAGCTGCAGTTTTGCTGTCGAGGAGTGTTTCCTGTGACATCACAAAAATGTATCTTTTTTTTTTCTTGGTAGCCTGAAAGCCAGCTCTTTAAGGTCATAGAAAACATTTGGACACACGTGACATCATTAATTGAAACTTTGTAACAGTTTCATATGAGCGCACGCCTAACAGTAACATAGTCTCTCTTTAAATTCTAAGGTTTTACATGTA